AAAATTCGTACTATTACGTGATTTTAAAAGATGCTAATCGATACAATCGCTACGTGAGCCGACGGGTTTAGTATTTATTCGATAAATGCTTGTTTATTTTGTTTAATTTCCGCTGCGTTTGACCCCGTGCGGTATAGCGAACCCAACAAGGAGCCCTTACAGACAGAGGAGAATCAACTCTGAAATACCCACAAGAGAGAGTCCTCATTCACGGCAAAAGAAAAAAAAAAATCTTTGAATCCCGTAAGCGATAACCAATCTCTAGCCTAACAAGGTTGAATCCTACAACTAACCATAGGGTACAAAATTAACTTGCTACTGCACTCTCAAGGGTAAGCTAACAAACCACTAGAACAAAGCAAAAACATAAAAGCTTGTGGCCGAAGCTGGGTAGCGACTCTAAGGTCGACTAATCATGGTCGTCCATCCCATCAGTAGATCGACGATGGGGGTGTGTTGCAAGGGATGGCGGTCCAAAGGTCGGTCATTCCAAAAGGCAGGATAATTAAGGGACAAATTGCTTGTACGGAGATCTGGCCGTTGTGGTGGGCCTGTTGCCTGGAGTTACGCGCCTAAACCAAGACAACGAAGGGAGTGAATCTAGTAGCCATGATAGTTCTAATTTTCTCGTATGTTTCTTCAACAAGCTGTAATAGCTCGTTAAAGAAATGAGGGGACTAGATGATATAGCCCAAGTGGACCGAGTTCGGATCGAGCTCGGTAGCCACTCGGAGCTCAACTGTTAAAACATAGAGAGAGAGGATTCATAGTGGACCGGTTATGACAACACGACGATGCTGATTTATGGCATGTTGGAAGGTCGCCCTAAAATCGTACAAACGGGCAGAGATCGTATTCCTACTAGAGGATAGCTTGGTTGAAGTACAACAGATATTTAAAGAAGCTCGTCGTGAAGGAGCATTAAGAGCATTTGGCGAGGTCAGCGCGAGACCCATCTCGAGGTCAGCCAATGAGGCGACCTCTACGTGCTCGTACTCATGAAATCGAGCTTGAAGACATAGAAGTAACCTCGGGTCCAGAAGAAGGGAAGTGGATCCCTTAGATGGAGTAAATGTGTAGTATGCAAGAAAATACATGTTCGAGAAGATTTGGTTTGTTGAGAAGGAGGATGTGGGAAGACTTCTTGTCCTATTAGGAGTCTTTCAGTCAACACGCGACTCGGACTATAAAAATGATACTACAAGTTATTACTTTGCACAACACATACACGCGCAAAATATAACATTGCCATATTATCGTTGAATACGGACTGACTTGAGCGTCAAAGTTTTTTTTTTACTCTGTTATAAAACTGTGTTTTTTTTACTAGTGAATTAGCAAAGTTGATCTTCTTAATTTAACCACAAATGGTGGTGCACATGTTCCACGAGGGACCATCTAAATATTTTATCATATCCTTTTCTCGCTATGCAAATTGCAACCTGGAAAGATTAATAGCCCCTCAATCTTTACACTCCTTTCTACCCACACCCACTCCTCAAAACTTACTTAATAGAAAGGACTCTTTTTAAGATTATTTTTTCCCCTCTTGAAAATGGCCAAAGACTATACTCTGTCTGAGCTTGCACAGCACAACACCAGGCAAGACTGTTGGGTTACAGTATTTGGCAAGGTACCTACTACTTCACTAAAGTTTAATTCCTCCCTATTTTCTTCTACTCCTTTTAAATAAATTTGTTATGGGTCGTTCTTATTTTGGATTAGATTTGATTTATTGAATATAAGTGAAAAAAGAAATAAAAATAATAATAAGTGGGTAGAAATTTAGGTATTATGTTCAATTTTTGTGAATAGATATGATGAGTTATGTTTAACTTAGTTAATTTGGTGTAAATTGAGCAATGAATGATAAATACTGGACTTTGATTTAAAAAAATTTATTGAATTGTGGTTTAATTTGTCCGATAAAAGATAATATGTAAGACCACACAAAACAAAACAAAACAATGCGACTGAATTATATCAATAGTAAATATGATTACTAATATAAGGAAATGCTAAGGTCCTGTTACAGAACCATTCTGTCGGGGTTTGTAACCGTTAGATCAAAATGTCTTTCGTCAAAGACATTTTGATCTAACGGTTACAAACCCCGGCAGAATGGTTCCGTAACGGGACCGTAGCATCTTTCACTAATATATACTTAATTTGAGTTGTTTTATGATTTCCAAAGGTTTACAATGTGACCTCTTTCATAGACGAGCATCCTGGTGGCGCTGATATCCTCTTGGCTTCCACAGGTACTAAATTTCAAATTGTTACATTTTGTGCACTCATAATTATGTTGATGATAAATTATAGAAGATGGGTTGTACACTACTCTACTGTAAAAAGCAAGAATTTAATTAAACATTCCTCCAAAACTACATATCATCTGTATTAATTATGTTTGTACTGTTTTGTTGAGAAAAAGCGGATGACAAAAATTCAATTTTAGTCCGTTTACTTGTCCAAATTCTTTTTTTTTTTTTTTTGTACACTAACTTTTTCTCATCATCATGATTGGGACATTAATCCCAAAAATAGTTCTTTAGTTTTTGCGATTAATATTCTAAAAATGATGCAAATTGCAACATAAGTATTATCTTTGACTAATAATGTTCCAAAAATGATACCAACTACAATATAATGTACTATTTTTGATAAGAAAAAAGTTAGTGTACCAAAATTTGACTTTAGACAAGTAAATGGACCAAAATTGAAAATATTCCTACATAGGGTGACTTAATTAAAAGGTAGAAAATTAATGCGAGATGAGATGTTTCTTCTCTAATCCTAATTATTTTTGGTTCGGTTTGATTTGGTTTGGTATTACTAGGGAAAGATGCAACTGCAGAGTTTGACGACGTGGGGCACAGCCACGAGGCGTGGGCAATGTTGGAGAAGTTCTATGTGGGTGAGCTGAATAAGTCATCCATTGCGAGCAAGGGTGCAGTAAGCTTGCAGGGCTATAACAGAAAGAGCAAGAAAAAGATGTACATTATTTACCTCATCAAGTTCTTGCTCCCCTTGATTCTCTTCAATCTCCTCCTTGCTTTCTATTCCAAATCATCCACATAACCCTTTTTCCTAATTTTGTTGTCAAAAATTAAGTATGTTTTATTTGGGAACCATATGTTGTGATTTGTCTTGTGCAAACTATGTATGTTTATCCTTGAGGAGTTGGATTTATATATCAAATATTTGTATCTCAACACTTTCTTTCTTGTCTTTGATTATCTCCCTTGCCTAGGCATCATCTTTCCTATTCTCTTGATGATGGCTCATCATATTTCAAAGGCCACAAAGAGGTGGTTTCCTTGAAATGTTTGAAATTTGGAAATAAATAATTCACCTACACCACGAAAATAAATAAATAACATCATGAGTAAAAATTGTTGACATTCCGTGCATGTGATGCTTAATAGTTATTTTGATAAGTTTGATTATTTATTTTTATTGGATCTATGTTCATAATAAAATTCAATTATATTTTAATTTGTATAACAAAAAATGATAATGTGTATCCCAAATCATAAAATGTGAAAAAATGGGTTGAG